ACTTTTCCTGTTTTTTGTTCCGTTTCTGTTTGTGTGGGCGGGAGGTTAAATGATTGAAAAGAAGGAAAAGATGTAGGTTTCCAGCTAGCAACTCAGCACTTAAAATGACTGACGTCATAGTAATTAGATATTGGCAAGTTCCAAGCAATGCTGTTGCATGGTTATCATAATGATTTAAAATACAAACTGGCTCTTTGTATCCTCCACAGTGTTTCCAACATGCGTTTTTCCGATTCCCCTATGTGAGTTCTTTCTCTTGAAACGGAGATTATTTGTGCTGGCTCTCTACTGCTGATTGTGTCCTAGTCAAAGCAAAATTCCTTTGCTGGTTTGAGTAATCAAAGGCTTTATTTTGTGATACATTCCAGGCTCCTATGCAGGAATTTTTGGGGGGAGGGATGCTTTTCTTTTGTAAATGTGGACCACAATTTTCTTAAATATAAAGGAATTCAAAATAGTCATGCAATGAGTGTTCATAAGAGAGGTTAATGAAAAATTTGAATGGAAACAGTGATTGGTAAAATGATTTTGAAATAACATACTACACATTTATACAGTAATAAAGGTTTTATAGAAATTACCTTCTGGAATCTTGCTATAATATTGTAAGTGAAAAACAATATTCCAGTCTTCGTCTTTAGAATTTTTCAGTTAAGACCAGATATAGGCTAGTGATAGTGAAATTGATTTTAGGTAAAAGCAAACTTTTCTTCATGACAATTGTCGTGAGAATCACAGGTCCGATGATGCCTACCCAAGGGGGGGAAGGACAGAACCAGGTGGACCGTTTCAGCAAATAAAAAATGTTTATTTATAACGGTGATGAATTTATAGTATTTATTCTAAGATTTTAATAGACCGTGTTAATAATGAATTTACAGTATTTATTATATTTATTCTATGATTTCTAGTTAAACGTGTCAGAGATATAAGGATGGGAATGGCAAGGGGAATAGTCTCTATTCTAAAAATATCCAGCTACACTAATTAAATAACAGTGATAACTACAAACTCTAAGTACTACCCAAAACAACTACAACACTAAGCTTATACAACAAGAAAAAATCAAATCATGCATACCAACTTACACAGCACACGGAACGTTTCAAAGTTATCGGTTCGGTTGCGAAGGCCTTGGTTATGCCCGAGAGTTGGGGGAGGTGGTTGGTCGGTTGATCAAGCCGGCAGCACTTTGAAGTATACGGGAAGGCACACGCACGATGGTACGTGTGTTGCGAAGACCTCCTCGAGCGAACTGTGTGTTGGGTTTTTATCCCCAAATCTGCACATCGCTTTCCCGCGCTTACATATTACCATATATGGCCCAATGATCACCAAGTGAGGGGGTCAGTGTCCTAGGGGTTGGACTGACATCACCTTGGCGTGAGAACTGGGGGGCTTACCTGGTCTCATGAAACCTGGAGGCTACGTCTACACTGGCCCCTTTTCCGAAAGGGGCATGTTAATTTCACAGGTCGTAATAGGGAAATCTGCGGGGGATTTCCCTATTACGACCTGTGAAATTAACATGCCCCTTTCGGAAAAGGGGCCAGTGTAGACGTAGCCTCCAGGTTTCATGAGACCAGGTAAGCCCCCCAGTTCTCACGCCAAGGTGATGGGTGGAAGAGTCTGAGGCTATTTTCTCCTTTTCACACCTTCCCTTTTTCTAAAGGCAATGGTATGCAGGAAGGGTGCGGCCGGTTTCTCCCAAGGAGTACTGCAGCCCACTGTAGCAAGAGCCGCCTGGCCAAACTTTTTTACTGAGGGAGCAGTTTTTTTTCTAACAACAATAAGATCACAGCAGCGTCTAAGACATGTTCATAGTTAGTTTCCATATTTAAGAAGACTTTGAAGATCCAGTCTTCTAGGGAACGTCCAGACAAAGATATGCACCACTTCATCCAAATCCACTTTGGCTGCATAGTGGATGTGTGTGTGTATGAAATTGTAATACTTTCAGAAGAATAGGGGAGAGAGGCTCAGGCAGCGTGCCGTTCCTGCCTTCCTCCAGCTGGCCGGCACACGAGGGAGCTTTCACCTGGCCTCTCACACTTATTTGGGGGACCGTAGTGAGGGTGCATTCGCACCCTACACCCCCTCTCTTCCCCACGTATGGGCCTGCATTCTTGCTCGTAGTGGTTGAGTTGCTTGAAACAAGTCACCGTATTGCCTCTATGCTGGCTTGGTTACCCTTGTCACTAGACGACTATCGTATTGATTTTCAGGGATTGTTATACACACACAAAGCGTAACTGTCTGGCACCTGGATAGCTCTATGACCTTTTCAGAGGCCTTGTTTCCCAGCATGCCCTTAGGTCAGAGAACAAACTACTGCTGTCTATCGTACCCATTTGTCTAGCCTCTCAAGGGGATACAGAGGAATTGCAGTTATAGAACAAGGTTTTGGGGCACTCACTTAAAAAAAAATATTAGGAAGTCTCTCAGCTCCTAAGCTCCAGCTCAGCAAAGATACTTAGGCTACTCATGTGCGTGAAGTCAGATACATTGTTAAGTACCTTTGCTGAATGAGAGCCCTAGTGCTAATTAAATGACTGCTGTGATGTAATTGACTAGATTTTGATCCTGGGGATGAAATGCTGAAGTTTAAAGAAGTGTTGCTGCTGCGCTTTTGGGAAGGATGGGGGAGGGGGGAAGGTGGTTAATACACGACCATTTTATTTAACAAAGACGCTTTTAAAAGAACAATTGGTTTTGATTTGAAATTTGCACTGAGTTGTGAGTACTCATCCTACTAGTGGGTACGTGAGGTTGTGTACGGGAATGACCCTGCATGAATGGCATGCCCAGTTGAGGGGGTGGGGATACCAGTAGGCAGTTCAAAAAGTTGTTCCACTAAGTCTAATCAACCGGCGAACAGCTGAGTAATGTATGAAGGTAGCAAGGGGTAGACGCACTATCATATGGAAGGGAACATTTATTATTTAAATTCTACAGCTGTCTAGTGGCTGCAATCAGGTACTGAAACTCCCATTATTTTATTCTGATTCAGTAATAAGATGCTTGTATGAGGCTCTAGATTCCCTTTCACAATCAGTACAGTCAGGGATGGCAACAGATTTTGCTGGGTCCTGGACAATGTGCGCAGGGTTTGGCTCTGGACCCTCAGATGGGGCAGGACTAGGGGCAGCCATCCTCAATGCCACCCAAACCGCACTGTGCCTTCCCCAGCCAGTTTTCAGCACTTGCCAGACCCTGCTGCATGGGGTTCCAGAAGTGATTTAAAGGTCCCGAAGCCAGGGGCCCTTTTAAATCACTGGGCCCCAGAGCAACTGCCCTTTTTGCTCTCTCCTCCTTGCTAGTGTCCCCAAACAGAGTGAAGCCTCAGACTTATGAACACCAGTGTTGTGAACAGACCGGTTAACCATAAACCTCATTTGGAACCAGAAGTATGCAATCAGGCATGCCAATTAGCAGCAGAAACACTTCCCCTTTCACCCCCACCCAAAAAAAAGTACTGTACAATGCTGTGTTATATGTAAGCTATGAAAAAAATACAGGAAGTCCCCGAGTTACGCAGATCCGACTTATGTCGGATCCGCACTTACGAACGGGGCTTTCTCGCCCCGGAGCTCGCAGGCAGCGGGACCGCCCAGAGCGCAGCGGTCCCGCCACCTCGACCTTCGGGGTGAGAAAAGCTGCTCCGGGTGCCCCTGGTCTGCTGGGGACCATCTCCAGCAGACCAGGGACACCGGGAGCAAAGCTGGGGAGGCGGAGGCGCGGCACCCCGCCACCGCTGCGGCTTTGCTCCCCGTGTCCCTGGTCTGCTGAGGGGAGGGGAGCGCAGCTAGTGCGCCCCCCACCCGAGCAGACTAGGCTTTTGTTGTGGACCCTGGGGTAGAGCAGCTGGGGTGCTGCCGGGTTGGTCCTGCAGGGACCTACCTGGCAGCCCAGCTGTTCTGTCCCAGGCTCGAGATTCAGCCGCTGTTGAAACTGATCAGTGGCTGATTCCAGAAAGCTGGGGGCAGAGCAATTCTGCCTCCAGCTTCCTGTAGTCAGCCCCTGGTCAGTTTCAGCAGCAGCGGCTGAATCTGGAGCCAGTTCCGCCTTACATACAAATTCAACTTAAGAACAAACCTATAGTCCCTATCTTGTACATAACCCGGGGACTGCCTGTAAAGGGAACATTTCCACAAAGATTTGACAAAATAAGCTAACAGTCTCCATGCTGATTTCATTTAAATAAAGATGGTTAAAACAGCATTTTTGTCCTGCACCGTAAAGTTTAAAAGCTCAATCTTCAGTTGTAAACTTCTGAAAGTACATTCGTAAGGTTTTGTTCAGAGTTACGAGCAACCCCCATTCCTGAGAGCTGTGTCTAGACTGGCAAGTTTTTCCGCAAAATCATCTGCTTTTGCGGAAAGACTTGCCAGCTGTCTACACTGGCCGCTTGAATTTCCGGAAAAGCACTGACAATCTCATGTAAGATTGTCAGTGCTTTTCGGGAAATACTATGCTGCTCCCATTTTCGGCAAAAGTCTTTTTCCAGAAGACTTTTGCGCAAAAGGGCCAGTGTAGACAGCACAGTACTGTTTTCCACAAAAAAGCCCCGATCGCGAAAATGACGATCGGGGCTTTTTGGCGGAAAACCGCATCTAGATTGGCCACGGACGCTTTTCCGCAAAGAGTGCTTTTGCGGAAAAGCATCCTGCCAATCTAGACGCACTTTTCTGAAAACGCTTCTAACGGAAAACTTTTCCGTTAAAAGCATTTTAGGAAAATCATGCCAGTGTAGATGTAGCCGAGGTGTTTGTAACTATAACAGGGTTCAGCAAGAGTTAGATAAGTTCATGGAGGTTAGGTCCATCCATGGCTTTTAGCCAGGATGGATAGGGATGGGATCTCTAGGCACTTTTTGTTAGAAGCTGAGAATGGGCACAAAGTGATGGATCACTTGATAAGTATCTGTTCTGTTCATTCCCTCTGGGGCACTTAGCACTGGACACAGCCAGAAGAAAGAATACTG